CTGGGAGCGGTCCAGCAGGCTGGAGAGGCGACCGGCTCCGGGACTCTTTTTCGCTCTCTCACTATATTTTTTTTGTGTCCTCTTTTTTGGACTGAGCGTTTAAAATTGTTTTCCCATGTCCACATTCCGGGGATTTTTGACATGCGATTGGTCTCTGCCGATGGAAACTAGTTCCTGGTACTAGTGAGCGCTGGTTCATGATCTGGAGACCTGGTTGGACGTCGAAAAGCTGATATTTGGTGGACTTCTAACGGTGTCTGGCGCCCTGTTCAACAAAAGGTAAGAGCGGACACCTGTTTATTCAAAGTCTGCTAATTGAGTGAACTAAATTATGGTCTGTTTTGAGGTCTGCCAAATGTCATGTATCTATAGATCAGATTAGATTAAAAACAGGTTCGCTACCTGACGGGGTTAGAGTCCCTTTGAGAAGAAGTTGAAGAAGATGACATAGTCTGGGATCGTGTCATAAATTCAGACAGAAGACATGTTTTATTGTCGATGGTAGAGACAGCACGAACAACAGATACAACAGAATGCAAGTGTATTATACAGAGCGGAGGCATGGAGACCTCCAATCAGCAGCTTCCATGGTGCCATGTAGCTTGGCCTTCAGATAGACAAAACAAGGGAAAAGTACTGGCTTCTGCACATTGATAGAATGATGAGTTTAACTATAACAAAAGTTGCTTCAAAGTGTTACGAAATCTCACATTCCCTCTGGTCGCACATTCACGTGTGACCATCAGGATCGATAAACAGCAACATAACATCATAACTCAATACTTCAACTCGGTACTTCACTCGGTACTTCAAAAACTCATAAAACATGTTCAGATCTTTCATAAAACTTGTCAACAATCTTCAGTAAAATACCAAACTTCATCAGTCGATGTTTCCAGATATTGCTTTGAAAACAGTCTCTCCCACTTCTCCATGTCGGTTTCTTCAGGCTGCATTTGTGTCGAGCCATAGCAGTGAATTCTTCTGTGACGTGTCTTTCAATCACACGTTTCAGCTTTAGTGTCCAGATTCAGCAATTCAATTCAGTCCAAATTATGTCCAAATTCAGAAATCCAGATTGTTCCAAATCATGTCCAAATTGTTTAATCCAATTGTTCCAAATTATGTCCATGCAAAAGAGGACGATGGTATTGTCCATGTCTCAGCAGCTCACAGCCTGAGTGGAATTAGGGGCTGTGCAGATTGTCCAAGTGTGCTGGTCCAGACGCATTCTCTTGAGGTTTTTCAGTTTTGGCTTAAAAAAAAAACACTTTTTGTGTAAAAAAAAAGTAGTCTTCTGTTCTCTAGATGTTACAGACAATGCCCGCATCCTTCCACCACCTGAAGAAGATGACATGTCTGGGATCGCGTCTTTAATTCAGACAGAAGACATGTTTTATTGTCGATGGTAGAGACAGCACGAACAAAGCACATGATCACAGATACAACAGAATTCAAGTGTATTATACAGAGCGGAGGCATGGAGACCTCCAATCAGCAGCTTCCACGGTGCCATGTAGCTTGGCCTTCAGATAGACAAAACAAGGGAAAAGTACTGGCTTCTGCACATTGATAGAATGATGAGTTTAACTATAACAAAAGTTGCTTCAAAGTGTTATGAAATCTCAAAGTCTCGGGGTTAGAGTCCCTTTGAGAAAAAGTCTCGGGGTTAGAGTCCCTTTGAGAAAAAGTCTCGGGGTTAGAGTTGAAGAAGATGACATTGTCTGGGATCGCGTCTTAAATTCAGACAGAAGACATGTTTTATTGTCAATGGTAGAGACAGCACGAACAAAGCACACGATCACAGAAACAATAGAATGCAAGTGTATTATACAGAGCGGAGGCATGGAGACCTCCAATCAGCAGCTTCCACGGTGCCATGTAGCTTGGCCTTCAGATAGACAAAACAAGGGAAAAGTACAGGCTTCTGCACATTGATAGATTGATGAGTTTAACTTTAACAAAAGTTGCTTCAAAGTGTTATGAAATCTCACAGAGTCCCTTTGAGAAGAAGTCTCGGGGTTAGAGTCCCTTTGAGAAGAAGTCTCGGGGTTAGAGTCCCTTTGAGAAGAAGTCTCGGGGTTAGAGTCCCTTTGAGAAGAAGCTTCAGGGTTAGAGTCCCTTTGAGAAAACGTTTTTGGGGTTAGAGTCCCTTTGAGAAAAGATAGAGAAGGATCCTTAGTGAAACCATGGTGTAATAATAAAAGCAATAAAAAGGGAAATGTGTTAATGAGGCCTTTGTTACAAAAGCTTTGAAATTGACGAATTTCAGGCTGATAAATGACAAAAGTAAAGAAGCAACAATATTTCAGTGATCACGGTTTAAATTACATACAGAAAAAGGGAGTTTTTGTTTTTTGGCGTGAACAGAGTTCACCGGAGAATGCAGAGTTTTATCTAAAGTTGAGCTATGAGAGCTTTCGTGAGATATTTACATTTTTTGCCAAGTTTTATCTACAGTTGAGCTATGAGAGGGTTGTATCCAACAGTTGTTTGTTTTTTAGAAAGAGATTGAGTTTAAATTAGTTTGCTACCTCGATAAAATGGAAGCGTAAGGGAAATTAAACACTAAAAGTGCCTTTTGTTACAAGTGTGGAAATTGGCCATTTCTAGACTTGGATGACAAAAGTATAAAGAACAACATCAGTTATATTAGCTTAAAAAAGTAATCTTGAAAGTACTTCTTTCTGTTTTAGCATTTTTGCTAAAACACTACTTTCTGCCTGTGTGTGTGCACATCTCTATCTTGCTGCCGTTGTCAGGGGAAACGGCCCCCTCCTTCGCTACTCCGGCTCTGAAATCAGAACAAAGCTACTGCTTTTAGGATTTTGGCTTTTCATAGTTGTTATTCCGTTAAATTTGCGAAATTTGCCATTGAACATTGTGTTATGACACAGTTAAACGTTTTAAACACCATTTAGTAAAAAGAAGTTTTGAATTATGTTTTTGAAACCCAAATATTAGAGCTAAAGCTGTGCAATTCTTTTTAGACCTAACATATTTCTAGATTCCATTCTTTTAAATCTGCTGCTTATTTCTTAACTTTTTGTGAGTTGTTTGTTTTTATGTTTTTATTTTAGTTACAAAAGCAGTTTTTCAAACATTTAAATTAGAATCTGTGTTAAAAGTGATTATTGATTATGGACTTCGTCTAAAAAGAAAGAGGGAATTAGGATTAGCTCTAAAAGTATTATATTGAGTTCTACCCAATTCACTTTCAAGCGGTGACGTTTTTGTTTTGACTACATGCCTGACCTTGCTGCTCCTGCTGATGCACACAGCAGAGGAGACTGGCTCTGAAATGTGCTCCAATTCATATTGACTTCATTTGAAAATGCTGCAATTATTTTAAATTAGTAGAATATATGCCGAGATAAATGTTCAAGATAATTAAACACACAGTACAAAAGTACATAATACATATTTTAAAGTTTGAAGGTTTAAGAGATTTGAGTCTTGTTTTTTTATTAAGAAAGAGTTTCTGGTTTAAAAAATGTCATCATTAGTAAGATAGTAAGTAATCTTTATTTACATAGCACATGTGGGAAAGCCAAGAGCGCTCCAAAATTGTTTAGACTTTAGAGAGAAAAACAATCTCATTCACAAACTGATATCTGTTGTTTGATTTTGACTATAAGGTTGTGTTCCAGGACCAAGGGCACACACTGTACAGGGCCACTGGACTGCGGGAGAGGACACAGAGCTCAGACCACAGGAGCCCAGAGTAGACCCACCCAGAGCAGGCCACAGAGCTAAGAGCAAAAGGGCAACAATGCCACCTCTACGCCCCTCCCCCCACTACAGAAGTAAGTGGGAGTGAGACCGGGGCCATGAAAGTGGAGGTTTCTGGAGGCAGTGATGGGTGGAGGCCTCAGGTAGAGACCTAGAGGCAGTTGAAAGTGTGTCCACGTGGTTACATCTCCACAGTGTGACCTTTGAGACCTACAGGTGGTTCGAGGAGTCTGGAGACACAACCCCAAAATTCACACCCTACATACACACACAACACACACACACATTCGTACACTCACACATTCACATTTACATATAGATACATGAAAAAGCATAACATGAGAAAAAAGCATTTTAAAAGTTTACTCCAATGTAAACACATATTTTTAATTGTCTATCTGTAATAAAGGCTCAGCCCTGTGAGGGGAGTCACGTGACTTACGTAACTTACGTGACTGCCTGGCTTGTTACGTTTCGCGGTTCTTGTAACGGCAGCTAAGTTGTGTCCTACAGTTAGCTCACTTTGTGGGAAGTTCCAGCCCACTGCTACCTCAAACTCAGTCACTGATGAAACGTGAGTGTTTAATGTTGTATATTGTTGTGCTATTTACCCCTTTCTCGCTGTAAACACAATGGTCTGGTTCATGTGTAAATGCGCTCCTCGCCTCGAGTGGAGTTTACTGTAGTGAGAGTTTGTGACAAGCTAGTTATGCGTGTACCTTCATTGCAGTGTATCTATGTAAGTTCTCACCATTTCTGGAGCATATGCAGTTGTTTAATGTTGAATCTTAGTAAGAATGTGTCACGTTTGTGCCGCGAGGTAATGTAATGACCTTCCGCGGCCGCTAGAGGGCGCCATTACTCTGCGCCAGCATTAAGTTCAGGGAACTTCATTATGCAGCCATCTAATGCTGGTTATGTATGTTCTGTTTATTGATATTAATTGTTTGTACTAATAAGAGCGTGTATTTAAGTGAGCATGCTTTATAAGAACATTTTTTCTCTGTAAAGTTATTGAATAATATGTTTGATTATTCATTGTATTTATCTGTATTTGCAGACTGTGTGTTTGTGTGAAGCAACCTGTGCAGCAGTGGCGGCTGCAATAAAATACCTGAACTTCAACCTGGTCTCTCCCCATCTTTCCTTCCCTGCGTTCTGACCGACGCCCCATCTTGTTTCACGTCTGACCCCTCCTTGAATTAGCATAATACAGTCCAACTCCTCCCTAACATTTGGTCCTTCGAGCCGGAAAGACAGTACTCAAGATGGATCCAGGGGATAGCATGTACCAGTCAGTGAGACCCAAGAGACAAGCACGACCCCCTCCTTGGTTACAAGACTATGAAGTTGGTTATGAGCCAGATCAGCCAATAGATGCAGCGCCATATCGCCGAGAACCCAGCCCTCCTCTCGCACGAAGCTTCGACGGGGATGCTGCTCACACTGAGACGCCTCAGCTCGCCCCGAGTCGCTTCCGGAGGACCTCCAGAGAATGGGACCACCAGCCCTCCCCTGTTCCTTTCACCTCTTACTCCTCTCCATACCATGAACAGAGTCATCACATGGAGATTCGAGCTGTACAAGAGGAAAACGCTAAGTTACTCCAATCTCAACAGCTGTTCCAGTCTGGTCTTCATGAACTAAACAAAGCCCGGACCGAGATGAAAGAGTTAATAGAGGCTGCACGTCTACTGAAAACTGAAATGCTCCATTCACGTCCCCTGTACAGTCCAGTCAAACCGTTGCGGCACCCCAGCAGTGCAGCTCCAGTCACTTACCTCCCCCCTCAAGCAGAGTACCAGGGGGACTGCGAATGGCCTGATCCTCCACCTTGGCCCGAGCCTGAAGACAGTTACCAGCCTCATGACCCGGCGTGGCCTCCACCCCCTCCCCCACATCCTTACTTACCCACTAAGCCAAGCTGGAACCTGCAACCCGCTGTTAGGACACCGCCACTCAGCCAGCCTCTTACTCGTACAGCGCCACCTCGTGTAGCTGAGCCCCTCTACAGAGGCCCTCAACCCACAATACCTAAGTTTATAAACCCAGATCCTAGTGAGTTTGCTAGACTTCGCATAGCTTTAGAGAACCTGCTCCCAGCTAACACAACCGAACTGTTCAGATATCAGATACTAGTTGACCATCTGAGGCTAGAAGAAGCTAGGCTTATAGCAGATGCTTATTTAAACTCCTCCACCCCATACACAGACACCATGGCAGCTCTCCATGAAAAGTTTGGCCAACCCCATCAACTAGCTCTCCGAAAGATAGCTAGCGTCCTTGAGGCCCCCGAAGTGCGAAGGGGGGACACAGCTGCTTTCCAGAAGTTCTCCCTGCAGATTCAGTCTTTAGTTGGCCTCCTGCAGACCCTGGGCCCCGAGGGAGATGTTGAGCTGAACTGTGGCTCACATGTTGCACGTCTGTTAGGTAATAGGGATGTGCATTTAAAGCAAAAGTACTATTCGATAATCGTGGGGTACTAATAATTAATATTCGAATATTCGACAATAACTGCCGCCAGACTGCCCCCAACACCCACCGCTGCGGAAACAGATATAGATCCACAATTTTTCTCTTTCTTTTTTATTTTGACAGTGGATGCAATTAACAGCACAACATTATAGAACCGTTTTCTGTCTTTAATCCCATTAAACAAACAGGATATTATATACAATACAAAAGGTGCGTGTGCGGACCGGGTTTTCCTTCATAAATCACCCAATAATACCGTCGTCACGTCAAACAATTAACAAAGTGCGGAGACTTCAAACAATAATTATATAAATGTTGAACATTTTACTAAACATACCTGAGAGACAGCATTGCTGACGTGAACATTTTTTAACATGCTCGTCCTCATAATCTAGTGGCGAAGCTGGCAATTGACTGTTGCTGTGACGACGGCCCGCCGCTTTCACACGGGTGCTTTGCTCTCATATGAGAGTGCATGGTTGTCGTAGACTTGTGATATGCAAGCTTTGCTTCGCAAAGTTTACATTGTACCTCTGTTTCAGTTGTTTTTTGGAAATAGCGCCACATGGAACTTTTTGACGACTGCAGTAATTTCTCCATCGTGTCTTCTCCAGTTTGTTAATTTTCTACGACTTGGCATGTAGCCCGCCACTGTGTATCGTCAAATGGTACGCTGCCCCCGTGCGGAAGCCGCCAGTAATACCATTTTTTTCCCCCTCCAGATATGGTACACTATTCGATTTTTTATGATTTAACGACTATTCGAATATTCGAAAATCGATGCCCATCCCTATTAGGTAAGCTTCCTGCTAAACTCCGTGCTGATTTTCGCCGACACAGTTTCAAGCAGTCAGGCTCTAGACATACCCTCCTTGACCTTTCAGAGTGGCTCCGTCATGAATCCTGGTGTCAAGGTTTTGATAGTCAGGTCACAATAAAGACTGGTAGAGAGAAGTCATGGCCTAGAAGTGACAGTCTGGCCCCAAAGCAGACGGTCTCAGTCTTCCATGGTGCAGAGGAGCCAGTCCAGACCGCTAAAACAAGCCATGGAAAAGTTAAGAACAAAGCTTACTGTGCATTCTGCGAGGGCAATGACCACCACCTTAGTCAGTGTAGTGACCTGGCCAAACTCTCCAAAGAGCAGCTCAAAGAGTGGATCCAGGTCAACAAGCGCTGCTGGCGCTGTGCACGAGCCCACCTTGCGGCACAATGCACCCTAAAGAAACCGTGTAGCCTATGCAATGGGAAGCACCTCCAGGCTCTCCACGAGATAAATATCAGAACAGAGAACCCAGCGGTAACAAAGCAAGAAAATAGCCTTACCAGTTCCGCCTCCAATGCCCTTTACCTAGACAGATCAGGTACAGGTAACAGAGCCCTGCTGAAGATTGCCCCTATCCTTGTCCATTACGGTGGCCGCACTATAAACTCCTTCGCCATCCTAGATGATGGGTCTGAAAGGTCCATGCTCCTACCTGCAGAAGCCAAGGCTCTCGGGATGAAGGGCACACCCGAAGACCTTCCACTGCGCACAGTTAGGCAGGATATTCAAGTCCTTAGCGGGTATTCAGTGTCCTTCCATATTTCCCCTGCGTCTAACCCCCACACCAGCTACAAGATTGAGGCTGCTTTCACTTCTAGCCAGTTAAGTCTCGCCCAACACACTTATCCTGTCGAACGACTACAAAAGAAGTTCAGGCACCTACATGGTCTTCCTCTTCCAGCCTTCAAGAATGCTGAACCCTCGCTCTTGATTGGGTCAGACCAGCCCCACCTGATCACGCCTGTAGAACCCGTTCGACTCGGCCCGCCAGGCAGCCCAGCCGCAGTCCATACAAAGTTGGGATGGACCCTTCAAGGCCCAGTCCAGCTCATGGGGCGGCCCTCCAATGCTGTGCAATGTCTGTTCACATCGGCCCCACCCCAACTAGAAGACCTGTACAAGCACGTCGAAAGACTTTGGCAGATGGACTCTGTATCCCACAGGCCAGACAAGGAAGTAACACGTTCCCAACAAGATCGCCAAGCCATAGCTACCCTGCAGGCTAAAACTGTTCGTGTTGAAGTAAATGGCACTCTCAGATATGCCACCCCCTCCTGCGCCATCTTGACATGCCTCCGCTCGCTGCTCCCAAAGACTCTGTCTTACCCCTCCTACGCAGCACAGAAAGACGTCTCCTAAAGGACCCAGAACAAGCAGAGGTGTATAAACAGGAAATCCAGAAGCTAGTTGACTCAGGGGCAGTAAGTGAGGTTAAAGAAGAGAGGTCAACCCAGGAAGGGTGGTATATCCCACACCACCTGGTTAGTCATAACGGGAAGTCACGGCTAGTCTTTAACTGTTCCCACGAGTACCTTGGACAGTCACTAAACCAGTTCCTGCTTCCTGGCCCTACACTCGGAGCTTCCCTGCTAGGAGTCCTGCTGAGGTTTCGGGAGAAGGCCATCGCTGTGTCCGGCGATATAAAGGGGATGTTCCATCAGGTCCGCCTCCTTCCAGAAGAGCGACCTCTCCTCAGATTCTTGTGGCGAGACCTGCATGTGGACCAACCGCCAAAGACCTTTGAGTGGCATGTCCTCCCCTTCGGCACTGTCTGCAGTCCGTGCTGTGCTACTTATGCACTCCAACGCCAAGTCGCCAATCACAGTCCAAGTGAAGACCTGAAGATTTCAGTAGAGAACTGCTTCTATGTGGACAATTGTCTGCAGAGCTTAGACACCCCAGAGGAAGCAAAGTCACTCGTCGACCGTCTAAGAGCCCTTCTTGCCGCAGCAGGATTCGAGTTACGCCAGTGGGCCTGCAACGATGCAAACGTCCTCAGCCACCTACCTCAAGCAGCAAGATCAGAGAGCCTTGACTTATGGCTCGCACAAGACAAGTCCAACCCACAAGAATCCACGCTTGGTCTCAGTTGGAACTGGGAGGCTGACATCCTGGGCTACAAACACAGAGCTGTGACCTACAAAGAACTAACCCTGAGAAACATTTATAAAGTCCTAGCATCCCAATACGACCCCTTAGGTTACCTGCTACCCTATAGTACAAGAGCCAAAATCATAGTCCGTCAGTTATGGGTTAAACAGCGTGGCTGGGATGATCCAAACCTGCCATCAGAACTCAGACAGGCCTGGGCTAGTTGGGAAGATGAGCTCGGCTGCAATAAAATACCTGAACTTCAACCTGGTCTCTCCCCATCTTTCCTTCCCTACGTTCTGACCGACGCCCCATCTTGTTTCACGTCTGACCCCTCCTTGAATTAGCATAATACAGTCCAACTCCTCCCTAACACTATCACTTGAATCTTTATTTGAATCTGTATTTTTTGAGACCAGAAATGTTCATTTGAATTCTATATTGTCATGGACTTAATTGACGTCTGTCCTGACACTTTTTATTTGTTGATTTTGTACTGTGTGAAGTAATTACATTGATTAGGATTATATCTGATAAAAACACAAATTAGAGAAGTGAACTGAATCATTGCGCTTGCTTTTGTCTAAGGGAAATTAGCAACAGCATGAATAGAAATTGTCTTTAGATTAGAATCAAAGTGACTTAACCATAGAGAGTAACTATTGCATAACACGCTGTGTACAGGAACTGTGACACTGCACCATTGACCAGAAGTGCATCGCAAATGACCTGATGTGCTTCAAGTGAAAAGACTGTATCTGGAGATCCTGATGTGCATCTTGAGAGACCAAAACCATGGCTTGGACCCTACTGATGTCCAAGATGACATCTCTCGAAATATGACCTGACCTGAGGACGACTGAGACCTAACCTCACCCTCAGGGGACCTGAGGATCTGAGGACCCGAGAGAGAAAAAACCGGGGGAGTGATGTATATATTATTGAAATCATACATTGATGAGTGCTAAATGAGAGAGATACTCATGATTGTTTCTTTTGTTTTTGTTTGTCCCTAGCTTCTGGACATCTGATGATCTATTGGACACAGACATTTGCAGAACAAGAACCAGCCAATGAAAAATCGTCTATTGCCAATGCTATTGCTACAACCAGAACCTGTGACCAAATGCAACACATGTAAAGTATTCAGACATCTGACAGACAAAAACTTTGACTTTTTAGTCTGGGAGACTGAGCAACTGTTAAAATGTGTTAAAATGATAAAGTATGAGTATTGTAGCGTTTTAGTAGATGTTAAATAGTAGTAAAAAAGTAGAATTTGACTTCCTTTGTTGTTCATAAACACATTTCTACGTAAGAGTTAAAATAGTACCCTACAATGTTATCCTTCTGATAGAGCAGATAAAATATTAGAATCAGAATCATGTTACAGCCATTAAAAGTGACAGAAGTCACAAACTAGAAATATGCCTTTGCTCAAGCTGCAACCGAGCTTTAGAGTCAAAATAGTGTAGAAATAGATAAATGCATCAACCATACATGCTTTCAAAAATAGAGATTATTTGTAGCCAGTGCTAATATCAAATGGTAAAGGGACCATTTCACAAACATTTACTTCAAAAGTAGATAAAACTGTACATAAAACTGTAAGTAACTTTATTAGATACTTGCCAAATTCACTTGTGTTCAAACATGAGTGAATGTTGACAATGCAAAAAGTCCATATGAGTATAGCCTAGATTAATGAGATATTTCGATATCTTTGAGAAGTTTCCAGCACAGATTAGAGAATCAAACACCATTGTAGAATAACTGACCCCAAACCTGCTCAAATAGATTAGCTCTTGTAAGGATAATACTAATTTGATTATTGACCAAACTGCCTGAGAGGAGGAAGTGACAGCACTTCCTGGTTCAACAAATGTATTTGGAAAACTGACCACCATAATAATGTTCATATTAACCATTTGTCTTACTGTGTTCACAGTTTTATTCCTGAGAATGTAGAATAGACAGAGAGCAAAATCCCACTGACAATAATCCACTGATAATGAAAGTAAACCACAGAGAGATTTATCAGATTAAAATATATGTTTAAGAATATGGCTCAATAAAAGTAGAATACTTTCATTATTCACTATAGTTTGAAACTAAAGTACACAGTCTAAGATTGAAAAGTGAAAATAATATAGTGAAGTGTAGTGTAAACAATTAGCATTAGAATAAAAGTATAGAGTAAGAAAAGTGAAATTAGCTTCTAATTTGAGACTCAGCTCGTTTTTGTCTGTGTTTTGACTGAATCTGCTGAGTTCTTGTGTGTCCAATAGTGTTTTTGTTTTTTATTTTTGATTTGTTTGTTTGTTTTTTCCCAGGATAGAGGATAAAATCCACTGATATTGATTTGGATGATTATGAGTTTAAAAAATTATAAAAAAACAAAGAAAATGTCTGCATTAAAGTTTTTTTTTTTCTTTTTCCACTTTATTGATTGATCAAATTGAGTGATCACATGTGATTATGTGATCAAAGGGGAGGGTGTTAGTATTAGATAGCAATATGGCCTACGTGCAGGACTCTACAAGGACTCCATGTTATGACTATGATTTGACTCTCTTTGTGACACGTATGTCTTTCGATGTGTGACGTGACAATGACTATATAAACTGTGTACTGACTCCATTCTGTCTGAGAGAAAGAAACAATGGAAACCACTGGAACTCGAGAGAAATTTATGGGCCTCCTGTTTGTCAGAGGGTGGAGCCATGATAACATTTTGGTCGTATCTTGACTTGAGGAACATGTGTACCGAATTTCATGGCTCTACGACAAACTTGACCTCTGAAACTCCCATTGGCTGTTGTAGGTGGCTGGCATTTTTTTAGTCCCATAAAAATAAACACCAAAATATCAAATTTTTCACCAGGTCTGATGTTTGGGCAAAATTTTACAACTTTTCATGCATGTTCAGGGGGTGAAATTAGGGCTCAAAGTGCAGAATTTGACATCTCTCGAGCAAAAACAATAGGCCCTTACCCCGTTCGGGGCTCGGGCCTAATAAAAAAGGAATTTATTTTTTGACGTCTCGAGCAAAAACAATATAGGTTTCAATGGCACGTGATACATAATTTTAAAGCGTTTGAGTTTACGCACGCAACCGTCACGTTTTGGTGAGTGACGGGCGCTGACGCGTCCGTCACGCACCGCCACCATTTGTTTTCACCATTGTGAAAGCGACAGGCCCTTACCCCATTCGGGGCTCGGGCGTAAAAATCCACTCTCCGCACAAAAATATCAAATAATGTCGCCCAGGGCTCTTAAGTATGCAAAATTAAAAACTAGATGGCCTGTTGTGGTGTGTTCTGTTTACAAAATTTTAATGCCATCTTTAATTTTTTTATACATTATGACAAGAGCTGCCGCTATCGAATATTTTGGTAATCAATTATTCTATCAAAAACAAATTATACAAATTGTATACAGTTTATTGAATTCATATTATCAAATGAAGACAAGGCAGCAGCGATTGCACCCGTACCACTGTTGATGTTCGAGTCCTTCCAGATTGAACAGAATCAGATGAGGCACATGTCTCTGAGCAGCATGTTTAAAAGGCTCTCGGTCAGAACA